ACCCATATCCCCCTAGTCCATGGAAACCAGATACTCAGATTATCCCCTTCCTCAGTAAGAGGAAACTAAGGCCCAGAGAAGCCCCAGCCTTGTCCCTGGGGACCTGGCACAGGGAATACACAGCCAAACTGTCCCTGGCTTCTGCCAGCATCCTTCCCCACCTTCACTCCCAGATAATCAGCCCCAGGCATTCTTCCCTCTTCTTTATCTCTGGCTGGGGAGACTACAGCTTCTGGCCCAAGGACCTGCAGAGGGAGAGGCCTGAAACAGTCTCCTCCTAAGGTGTCCCTGCTGGGTGTCTCCAGGATGGCATCCTCTCCCCATCATAATGAGGAATGCCCCCCTTTCAGGGGGACAGGGCTTCACCCTGATTACTGCAAAACAGCATGGAGCTGATGGGGAAGGAGCTGGCTTAGTGGGAAGGAGGGGTATCCCTGTGTCCTAGCAGCCTCTCCCTGGCCAGAAGGCTATGGATATCAAAGAAAGGAAAAGTGAGTCAGGCATGCTTGTGTCCTGGGCCAGGGATAAGGGAAAGATGCCATGGTTTTAAGCTGAGGGTTCGGAGGAAACCAACCTCAGCTGACCAGTCACTGAAGATGGAACAGTCCTCTATGGCCACATGGAGCCTCTGCCCAAGCCCAGTGCTGGTAATGCTAGGCCTATCTTCCTTCTTTTTGGCCTCTCCTGTCACTGGCTCAGGGAGGAAACATTCAGGACACTGCCCTTGGCCGTTTCTAGATTGGCAAGTAGGAGTTGGGGCTATTCTGTCTTCCAGCTGAGGCAGGTGTGAACCACAACCTGAGGTGTGGTTCCAATTCTGGTGTTCTTTCATAAATCACCTGGGAAGTGGCTGAAAATGCTGATTCCTTGGTCCATCTCAGATATACTGAATCAGACTCTTAGGTGCCAAGTTCCAGGAATCTGTCCTTTTACCAAGTTTCCCAGGGAAGAATCCCAGGTAGGAATCGTAAAATATTAAGGAGCATTGCACTGAATATTGTTTTGTGAAACTTTTGTTACACAATAGCTTTTTGTGTGCTGAGTCATCAAAATGGCAGTGGTACTTATAGTGGGTTGCAGTGAAAAAAGCTCAAAACACTGACTGAAGAGCGAGATCTAATTACCTGCCCAAAGCCAAGTCCCACCTCCTCTCTATGTTGCACTCCCCCCACTCCCCAAAGCTTCTGGACTTACCTCTCCTCTGTCCCTCACTTAGGTCCTCTGCCCGAGCCCTTCACCAATGGGGAGATACAGAAGGTAAGGACACATTCCTTCCCTGCCCCTCTGGCTGGCTATCAATCCTAGGACTTGGGAGATGGGTCAGAGGCAGCGTGATTGGGAGGACAGCTAGGCTGGCTCAGGCTGAAACCTTAGGGGTCCCAGTTCTAGCTCCAAGCTATAGAACAATATACCCCACTGCCCCTGCCTAAGGCCAAGGTTGTCAGGAGGGAGAAGGCTGCTGGGTCCCTCTGTGGCCCGCCATCCTGGGGGACAAGCCCCCACTTCCAACTCCCCACTGTACAGAAGGGGCCATTCTTCCCCCCAAGAACAGAGCTTCAGTGTCTGGCTGCAGGCTGCTGGGCCTCTGCTACTTCCAGGGTTGGAAGAACAAAGCCCCTCCTCCCCTCCTCCCTGGGCAGAGGGAAGGGGGTGAGAGTGGGGAAGAGATGGCAGGGCTGGGCGCCAGCTGAAGCCATGGAAGAACCCAGGAAGGGGCTGAGTGCCAAGCTGACGCCCCAGCCAAAGCCTTCACTCTGGGACAAGCCTGACTCTGAGTCAGGCCACAGAGCAGGAGCTCTCTATAGGGTCTGCTTGAGGGTTTTCCTTCCCCAGGAGCTCCTACCAGGGGACCTAGCAAGGGGGCATCCCTGGATACTGGTCTTCCATCACCCCATCTTTGGGTCTAGAACTCTCCATCCACTTTGTTCCTTTGAGGCCTGAGTGGCTGCTTTGGAGTTTTCAAGATTTCTGGGATGAATCCAGGCACAGGCTGGTGGTGGGCACAGGAGATTCCAGAAGTACCACCTGTGTTCCCTATGCCATGCAGAGACATCCCTGGCCCCAACTCCAAGAAGCCTCTCCTTGGTCACTGGCCCAAAAGACTAGTGAGTCAGTGCCCAGAGCCACATTAGGGAGCAAGGGGAGATTTCAGCTAATCCCATGATGGTCTGCATCCTTCCAGGCTACCCTCTGATCCTTTAAGGAATGTAAAAACATAAATCCGGTAAGGAGCCCTGGCAGGCTCAGGCGGTGGGAATTTGGGGTGGATGGCCATGGTGAGTGGTACTTCTCCAACTGAGGCCAACCGCCTGCCCCACAAGCTCCCTCCTTGTATCAGGACTTCCCTACCCCATTACCTGCCAACCCACAGTTCCCTTCTCTGTGCCAGGAGAACAGTCGAGAAACTTTGGCAGAGGCAGCCTCAGTGAGCCCCAGGCCAACCCTCCAGAGATCCAACTCCAGCGACACCAGTGAGGAGGTAGGCAGGCCTGGGAGGCAACAGCAGTGGGTTTAGGGGTAGCTGATTCCTAGGCCTGTGTTCCTGGCACACCAGCCTGCCTTTGAGGTCACATGCTGAGTTGTGTTCTGTTCTCGTGACCTGGCTTCCCTGGGCATGGCCTCAAGGGAGCCACTTTACTGAAGCTGATGACTAGAGAACCTCACCAGGGACTGACTCCAGTTTCCTCCCTCCTCCCATTTACAGCTGAATTCCCAAGACAGCCCCAAGAAACAGGACTCCATGGAGCCCTCGTCCACCTCCTCTGACTCCATCCTGGACTTCAACATCTCTTTGGCTGTGGCCAAAGAAAGGGCCCACCAGAAGCGCAGCAGCAAACGGGCCCCACAGATGGACTGGAGCAAGAAAAACGAACTCTTCAGCAACCTCTGAGTGCCCATCTGCCAGCACCCACCCCGCCTCCTTGTCCCTCTCCTGTTACTCCCCCAATTGACGTACGAATCAGCACCAGCACCTCCTTTCTTGATGAATCTGATTTTTCTGGAGAATTCTGTTCTTCCCTTGCCTTAGGGAGGGCAAATGTTTCTCTGTCCTGCCCCAATCAAAAAGCAGACTGTCCCCTTCTCACTGAGTGCTTCATCCCACCAGGTGTGCCCTTGCCACCCTGCCTGGGATATCACTGGGACCTGCACCAAGCAAGGATCGTGGGATCAGACAAGGGGGAATCTTCCCTTACAACCCCACATGATGACTGGGTTCAGGGCTGATTAAGGAACTCTGTAGAACCACAGCTTGCAGTGGACAGGGCGTCCATTCTCCTGAGGGCTGTGGCTTAGTGTCTTTTCATTTATTTGATTTTTTTTTTAAGTGCAGTTTCACAGCATTTAGAGGGATTTTTGTTTCCTTGATTAACATGATTTTCCTGGTTGTGCATCCAGGACATAGCAGTGACCTCAGTCTTAAACTTTTTACTCCCATTCTCAGAGACCTTGGCAGCCAGGGAGAATTTGTTACCCCCATCAGCCAGGCACCACCATTGTAAGGAAACTGCAGAAATTCAACTGGTTCCTCCAAACTGCTTTGGCCTCCGTGTCTTCCTTGGGAGCTTTGTTCTCTGGCCTTGGATCCCCACTAGGTGGAAAGTGATAAATGGCAAAGGAGTGTTCCCAGAGTGGCCTTTGGTTAGGAAGGTGGGGTGTGGCTGGAGTGAGGGCTGCCTAAAGTTCCCTGTGACCCCAATCCAGATCCGTACACCCTGGAATCTGTAGCTATGAGCCAGTCCTGTGGCAGAGGAAGACCCCACTCCCAGCCCTGCCGGGTGCTCAGCTCAGGGGCTGAGAGCACCATCGTAGGCCAGAGGCCCATTATGCAATAGGGATGTTTACTGAAGAGGCAAGTGGCAGCTGAGACCCACATGCTCTGATTCCAGGAGTGTGAATCCAGGATGGAACTGGATTTGGAATGTGAGGACTTGGCTTCATTCACTCTCTCTACCTTAGGCCAGCAGGGCACAGGATTCCCAGGAACAGGCTGAGCTAGCACCAGATACCCTATCTTATCTGGCCACTGACCTGACTGGAGGGTGGCTTGTCCAGAGCTGGGGGAAAACAAACCTGTGCTGTGTGACCAGGGGAATGGAGACTTTCCAAGGGCAAAATATCATGCTCCTTCAGAGACCCAAGTCCCGCATACCTCTTGCACCTGAGGCTACATCCAGGGTGGCCAGCAAGACCTGAGGCTGCAAGGCCCTCGGGTTCTTGGGCAGGTGATCCACCCAACCCACTAGGGGAGCACTCAGAAGCCAAGATCCTGGGTTGAAGGGAACAAGGAAAGGAGAAAGACAGCTAGCCAAGGAGATGACCGTGGCACCCTCAGGCCAGTCACTATCTGGTCATCTCTGGCAGCTTATGGTTTAAATTCCAGTAGCTAAGAGGAACCCTTTAAAACCCTTATCACAGCACCTATCTAGTAACCTGCTCAGCTGAGCCTGGCCTACCCCTGCCTGGATTCTACCCTTTGACCCCTAACTCCCACGCAGGTGGAACAGGCCTGAGAAGTGCCCTACAGGCCTGTGGAAGGGCCCCTCCCTACTCCACCTGCTGGGTGGGGAGCCCCTGGGGAAACCTTTGACTCTTGAGTAAGCTGAAGATAGATGGAAGGGACAGGTGGCTGAGAAGGAACTCTTGTCAGGGGCTGGAGCACAGTACAAAGGAAGCTACTGCAAACTAAGTTCTTGTTGCAGACTGGGGCATGTTTTAGATTTTAGTTTTTCACATGCAGTCTCAGGTGAGACTAGATCCAGCCAGGACTGAAGGGGGCTGTAGGCCTTGGGCAAATCACCTTATCTGGGACGGCTCCCCTCCAAATGCCCCACATACCACCCTCTACAACTATGTTTTAAAAACACGCTTGCCCTTTCTTGATGGCCAGCCCTGATTATGTTGGGATGTGGGGGACAGTTAGGATCAAAGGGTATTTTCCCACCTGAGGTAGGGGACACTGGCCCAGCTCTACTTCATAAGCTGTGGGTGCAAGGCAGCCTGGCCACCCTGAGCCTGTGCCTCCACTGCCCCCATGTGGCTTGGCCAGGTGCAGCTGCTCCACAGGCACAGTGTGAGGGCTGGAAGTGGGAGAGGGGCAGGGACAGTACAAGTTGATGCCCGCCTCTTCAGGTGGATACCACTGAGTGGCCTCTACCTCCCGAGCTTCATCAATAGTGTTCTCCAACCACAAGGAACTGTGTCCAAAACTCACTCACTCTTCTACGCTCTAGACTGGCGCCCCCCACACTAGGCCAAGAGACCAGGCCTCTGGGCTGCTCACTCCCTCTCTGAGCTGCCTATCCTTCCAGGGTCAAGTTCCTGGAGTCACAGTAGCAGGACAACAGGACTGGGCTACCACTCCCTCACCCCTACCCACAGGAACCGGATACTGCGAGACTGGGCCTCTGGGTAACTCTTCTCCACACCCACCAAATGAGAAAACAAGGAAAGTTGGCTATGCTGCATGCTTTACTCCCAGCTGGGTGGCACCTCTGGCCATTAAAGGAAAAGGCCTGTCCATTTCCCTGGCAGTCATCAGGCCCCTCTTTACCTCCAGCTGCCAACTCCACCCAGCCTCTCCCATGCATTCCTGTCATTCATTCCAGGTATGTGAGTCTGAGTTTGGCCCCTGGAGTCTGCTTCAGCCACACTGCCAGGCAGAGGGGGTCCAAGGCAAGCCTGGCCAAGTTTGAAGAGGGCCCCCAACAGGCGATTCCCAGCCTGGGGCAGAGCCAAGACTTCTGTCAGTCTCTAGTGCACGGCTCACCTCTTCAGAGCACTCACACAGGGCAGCTGCCCACAAGGCCCAGCTGTCAGCAGGGCTCTGCCGACCCATCTCTGTACAGTTTCTCTTCCATGTGGCTGGTCTGCTCCAGAAGCCACTGCTGCATGGGCTCATTCATTATCAGTCTGAGTGTCACCTCCTGGAAGACACTGTTCATAGCCACCTGCACGAGCCAGAGAGAGCAGGGCCTGCCGAATTACAGTTCTAGCATCACTGGGCCCACTACCCAGACCTAGGCCTCTCCCCACTAACACGCTTACCTGCTCAAAGTGAAGTTTCTGGAACATCTGGATGCTTGGTTCATTTCCTTGCCCAATTTTAGCCTCAAACTTGGTCATACCTAGTTTGGTCACTCCTCCCAAAGAAGATAATAGACAGAGGGGCAAGCAGCAGGATAAAGCCTGCCCCAGCTCACACCCCCGCCCCTCCCGTCCCAGCTTAGAGGGTGAGACTTCCCCCCTCCCCAGGCCTGAACAAGGCTCACCTGGGGCTGGCCACGTCTCTTTCCCCCTCCCCCCCACCATCTGCTCAGACTTTCTTACCATAAGACAGCATCATGAGAACAGCCTCAGTGCCAAGGCCCTTGCCCCTGCAGCTGGGCTCTAGAAGAAACAACAGCAGTAGCTGATACAATGTGCCAGGCTCTTCTGGGGGGTGCCTGACAGGTACAATTTCATTTAATCCTCACAATGCTGTGAAGTTGATACTATCATTACCATTCTGTAGGTGAGGACATAGAGGCACAAAGAAGTGAAACAACTCGCCCAAGGTCTCACAACTTGCAGCCCAGCAATCTGACTCCAAAGCTGACCCCCCTTCACATCATGGGAACAGTCAGCAGCCCTCTGGGGGAAGCTGAAGTCTAAGAAGGATGCAGAAATGGGAAGGGCTCCTCACATATCAATGCAAGATGGTCTTCAAGAGAAGATCGTTTATTTTCAGAGGGTCCCCAGCCCAGCCCAAGGACAGAGCACACTATCTTCAAATTTTGAAGATACAAAACCAAAGGCTAAGTCCCCACCTAAGCACAAGGAATAAACAGAGGAACCAATGGGTGAACCACTGGGCTGAAGGGGGCCAAGCCACCTGTCTGCTCTAGCCAGGTGCTGGGCTCACCCACGTGGAGCAGGCGAGCTCAGTGAGTGCCCTGTGCACCCTCAGCAGATCTGCGGGCCAGAAGGAACACACCTGCAATCATGACTTCAATCTCCCCAACAGTGGGGTCTTCTAGATCTGTAAGGAAGAGGTTGACATCTCCTACCATGCAGTTCTCTTCTGTGATGCCTGGCTGGGTCTGCCATTTCTCTGCATCCAGCACAATGAAAGTGCACTCTAAGGAAGGAGGCGACAGGGTTGACACCCACACTCCTCAGAGGAGAGGTAAGGGTGGGATTCCTAACTGCAGGACCCCAACTTCTCTAAGTCTATCAGGATAAAAGGGGAACCAGAGCTTCCTTCAGCTCGTTACAAAGTTCCGTGTCTGCCTGGTGCAGGAAAAGATGGCCTTTCCAACAACCAAATTCTCAGAGAGCAGAAAACCCAGAGGAAGACAGTAATCACATGAGTTTGTAGCAAGGGAGGTGGGGGCAGGGCCTAAATTTACAGCCAGAGCCCAAATGCTTTACTTTCCCTAAAGCCTTCTGAGCCTGGTATAGCAGGAAAGGCTTCAATGAGCATGAGAATACAAGGTTCCAGAACCTTTCAGGCTGTTCACAAAGCATCTGTGGCCCCCAAGGGCTGAGGCTCAGCTGAGAACAAGAGGGAACCTGGAGACTGCCTTTGGAGTCAGCCCCCCCACCCTGGGCAGGGCCTCCGCTCCTCACTATCTGTATCTTCTAGCCAGCTGCGCTGCATCGCATACTCCTGCTCCAGAGTCAGTGGCTCTGAGGCTGTCAGACGCTGTAGTTCTTCTGATTTCATCCACTCATGGTACCTACAGTGATGGGGGGGGCCTCATATATGCAGGACTGATTCAGAGCATAAGTCTGATACTTTATAAGATGAAGAAATGGAGAGTAGAGAAGTGGGCCCCACTAACTAACACAGTGCCTACAGAAGACTCAAAGAAAGACGAGGGCCACAGACACAAGACCTAAGGCAGTCTAGTCTTCTATGTTCTGTTGCTACTTCCGTCTGTCCAGCTTCCCATCCCGTCTCAGGGGTCAGTACGGAGGAGCAGTCTGAAACCAAACATTCTTCAAATTCCTGAGGGGAAGTGTATGGCAAGCCAATCTCAGCAAAGAAGGCTAGACAGATCCCCATAAAATCAGGACAGTAGGAACTCCCCCAAAGGAAAACTACAAAAGGAGGATACTCCCCTCCACCACCACTATCCCAATCTACTGGATATTTGCCAACTGCCTCCACAAGAGTCCCATCCTGTGACTCAGTCCTGGCCTTTCAAAGAGTAGAGAGCACAATAACCATCAGCTCAGAGTTTTATAAGACAAGCCAACATTAAGTCTCCAAGAACTGAGCGTCTTCACTGGCACCAGGGAAAATTCACTAACCTACAATTAGGTAAAAAGACCATTTTTTTCCCTTTCTTACACATATTTAGTTCACATAAGATAATTCCTTGCTAAAAGGCCAAAAAAGAAGCTGAGAAGGTAAAGTCACAGTCCCTAGCTTCAGCTTTTTTTATTTCTCTTTTCCTTCTCTTCCTCCCTTCCATTCTTGTATGTATTTGTTTATTTATTTATTTAGACAAGGTCTTGCTCTGTTGCCCAGGCTGGAATATAGTGGCACCATCATGGTTCACTATAACCTGAACTGAGCTCAAGTGATCCTCTTGCCTCAGCCTCCCAAGTAGTTGGGACTACACCCCACCAGCTTTCATTCTTTTTTTTTTTTTTCCTGTATGTATAGTAATTTTCGCAACCAATGTTTCTTCTTCTCAGGGGAAACAGACCCTGACACAGGGACTAAGAAAGGCCCACCCTCCTCACCATGCCTTGGAGAGCTGGCTTACATAGCCCTATATAAAACTACAAACGCACACACCACATCAAGCGGGACAGATACCTGGGCACGTGCTCTGCAGTGTAGGGTACAAGGACCACTTTCTTCCCCAGCAGCACGGTGTTCTGATTCAATCTCATGGCAGCAGCCTGCAGGTAGGGGGGAAAAAGACTGCAACACTCTTGGGTGAGAGTCCAGGCTCTCCAGCTGGGGCTAAACTGACTTCCATGCTTCCTTCCTTCCAAACACTTTAAAGAACACAGACTCTAATACTCTTGCAAAAAAGAGAACCGGGCTAGTCAAAGATTAAACGATTTTTGACTCACATCTCAAGGGGCCAAGCCTAGACTGCCATTTCTGACTGCCGTCCACCTCTTGCCCCCCACCCCCGAACTTCGATTCCTCAAACCCAAGCACCAAGTACCGAGACTTATTCCCAGTGTTCCCATCACTTGTCCAAGTCCAGGGATTCCAACCCTGGATCAACTTTCAGCCCCGCCTTAATCCTATTTTCAACCTCTCTCCCCAACGACCACCCTAAGGGGCTTTGGCCACACCCTCTTCCCCGGGCCCTGACCACTTCAAGGTGAGGCAAGCTTAGAATCTCAGGCTCCTCCCTTTTGCGTGGCGTTACTGGCTTTTCTTTTGGATGCTCCTGCCATTGGGACCCCATCCACCCGCCGCCGGCGAAAGCATCCACTACAGAGAGGATGAGACTCTCTACTAACCAGCCACGCTCCCCGGCTCGGCCAGCGGCCACCCCTTTCGCATGCGCGTGGGCGCGTGCTCGTCCGCTTCCGCCACGCAGACGGCAGCCGCCAGGCCCCAATCCCGGTCCCACCTCCGCACGACGCCCAATCAGCGTGCTGCACCCCGCCCAAGGCGCGGGCAGGAGGAGGGCTGCTGCTCCGGCGCAAGCGCACTGTAGGCGCTGGTGCGGGACAGCTGGCGCCGGCAGCAGCTGAGAGGCCCGAGGCGGCTGCAGCGGCAGCGGCAGTGAGTGAGCTGTGCTGCAGGTGTCGGGCCTGGCGGGATGGGGCGGAATGAAGTGGCGCCAGATTTGGGGTCCTTTAGGAAGGAGGAAGAGGGAGAGGTTCTGGGTCGGGTTCTTGAGAAGAGAGGAAGGTTTGAGGGTGGGGAATCCAAGGCAGAACGGAAGGTAGGTGGGGGCCAGAGAGTAGAGGCCCGGTTAAAAAGGAGTCTCTGGGGGCAAAGAGTGGGTTGGAGGGGTGATGTAGGAAGCCTCCAGCTCCTTGTCATAAGCCAAGGACACAGACCGTTCTTTGTGCTGCCTGTGCGGCAGTGAGCTCACGGTTCCTGGATTTAAATGGGCATGGCCAACTCAAGAGTGTTTATAGGGGGCTCTTGTGGTGGGTGAGTGTTAGTGGTTTCAGAGGCCCCTTAAATCACTTGAAGTTTGAACAGCATGCCATGCACAAAATAGTGCCCTGCCCAGCAAGAGAAAAGTTGGAAGAAACTGTCCAGATTTCCATCATCCAGGAGGACTCTTCCCTTAGGGCTGACTTTTGTGACAGATGTTGAGGCTGTAACTATCTGTGATAAAAGAACAAAAAGTGGGGCCGAAGTGGGAGGGGGGCCAGTCTGGAAGCCGCGGGCCCTGTCTCAGTCCATCACAAAGATAAAATCTGCTTTTTCCTCTTAGGGAGCCGCAGCCACTACCGCCCCTACACGGAAGGAGCCTTTACTGTCAAGCTTTCCTCATTTTTGGAAATGGCGGGTGAAATCACAGAGACCGGGGAGCTTTATTCTCCTTATGTGAGTTTTACTTATAGAACCTTTCACTTCTCATTTCTCGAGAAGCCTTCTGCTTCTTAGGGACAGTACTAGTGAGTGTTGTGGCTTGAATAGACCCTGGTGAAAGCAGGATGGGAGAGCTCCATGTTTCTGTAGGCATACTGATACCATCATGGCTCAGAATGTAATAGGCAGATTTATTCCCTTTTGAGTTGTTTATGAGAGTGGTCAAGCCAAGTAAAATAGCCTTGCTAACTCTTTGTGTTATCTCAGGGCTCCTACCACTTGCATATGGTGCTGCCCTGCAGATGGACAGTGATTGACAGCTGTTGACTCTGGGTTTTGCTCATCTCTGCAGCTTGAAACCACTTTGGTCTTTAGCTGAATTTTAAATTGCACAACTTTTATAGTCTTGGATGGTGTAAGAGACAGCAGCAGCCTACAGAGGCTTCTGCTTCCAGTTTGGTGAAATCTGCAATTAAGACAATTAGAATGATTGATTTCTCACTGTCTTGGAGCTCTATCACACATACACAGTTTATCTTCTCTGTATGATATATGACTTATTGTTATTACGTCACAGGGCTCTCTTGCCTGAATAAGTGGCTGGAGGATTGGCATAATCAAATGATTGACTCATATCCCAGGGAAAAGCAACACTGCCCTAAGTAGCAAGAGCCATTTTTCTAGAACTTACCCTGCCTTAAACAGCTGCTCTGCTTTGCATACACCTTCCTAGCCGGGGGATCCCAGCCTCCTAGTATCAGCAAGGTAATGCTCACACTGTCTAAAAAAAGTCACCACAGGCTGGGCACAGTGGCTCATGCCTGTAATCCTAACACCCTGGGAGGCCGAGGTCAGTGGATCACTTGAACTCAAGAGTTTGAGACCAGCCTGAGCAAGAACGAGAGCCCATCTCTACTGAAAAATAGACACTAGTTGGGTGTCACGGCAGATGCGAGCTATGATGATGGCATATCACTCTACCCAGGGCAACAAAGCAAAACTCTGTCTCAGAAAAATAATTAAAAGTCACCACAGTTCCTGTTCTTTTTTTTTTTTTTTAAGAGATAAAGTCTCATCTTGTCGCCCTCAATAGAGTGCTGTGGCGTCACAGCTCATAGCAACCTCCAGCTCTTGGGCTTAGGCAATTCTCTTGCCTCAGGCTCCTGAGTAGCTGGGACTACAGGCACCCGCCACAATGCCCGGCTAGGTTCCTGCTCTTTATTACAACATCTATAAACCTAGAAATAAAGAAATGATTCATTTCTATATCTGAGTTTTGGGAGGAAAATACTTTGCTATGCCCCTTTTCTTGGGTCTCCAGTTGCTCAAGTTGTCATTTCACATGTCACCGTGTACCCACAGGAAGCAGGGCAGTTAGGCCTACAAGCTTCAGTGGGCGCTGTTTTTTTCCCCTTTCGTTTCCTATGTGATTTATTGTGTTCAGGGTCTTTGCTTGAGTGCTAACTCTGGGTATTTGCCATAAACAAATGGTTGTGTTCTCTTATTCTACTGACGAGACAGATGTAGGGAAAAGATAGGAGGTGATGAGGATGAGGTGGCATTCACCAGGAAGTGGTGGTCAGGGTCTTGATGGGAGAAGACACCTCCCTCCTAAAGGTTTCTTACCTCCATCATCCTGGGAAAATGGTTCTTGGTCCCCACTGAGACCAGAAGAGTTTGTTGTCCACTGAGCCCCAATAAGCTGCAGAACTGACTTGACTGCGGTGCTGCTCTGAGTTCCCTGCAGACCTCAGCTTAGCACAGTGTGGGCAGAACTCTTCTCTGGCTGCCTTGAGAAACCAAGATACTGGGCATGTAGTTTATAAATGTGCATTAGCTCATGGTCATTCTGAAGACAATCCTTAGCTCTACATTGTCCCTTTGTGAGTTCTTTTCCCCTTCAGAAGTGCCAAGGATGTTTGCTTTAGCTTGAATTATTCTGCATAAAATATTTGTAACTGTCAGACAAGCCTCACAGGAGGCTCAGATACCACACCTCCTCAAGGACAGTGCTGAACAGGAGCATGATTCAGGCCGTATGTGGCCCTGTAAGTGATCTCAGGGCAGGCGTGTCTGTTTCCCATTTACAGGGACCTAGAGTGGCTCAGGATTAAAGTGATGATTGTGTGATTAGAATACAGGAGGAGATGGGTCACACCCAACAGAGGGCCAGCTGCTGAGTCCGCCTGTGCTAACTGGTTCTTGCTGAAGATTGTCATTGCTTTCTAAGGAAAGAGCACTTGCTTCACAGGCTTGAATCTTAGTCCTTGCTTCTGTGTTATTGCTGTCTTCTGTTACCCTTTGACATCTGCCAGAGGGGAAGCTGTTGAAAGATATGGATTACCCCTGACTCATGCGTGTCACAGTGATGCTGCTGGGTGTGAGAGGCAAGTGGGATGCTGTACTGGGGTCCCTAGAGCATAGGGAAGCAGGTCCATAGTCCCATTGTATAAAACTGTACCTTCTCCAGTCTAGCCACAGAGAAGTTAAGAATTAAAGGAAACTCAGTTTAGCCTGAAAGCATAGTCTTTTTAGCCTGCAAGCATAGTCGTC